TTGGTGTCTGTCAAGGAAATGACAGAGCAGGTCATGCAGATATCTGTGAGAGGGTGTTCTCCAGAGGAACATCATTTGTAAAGACCCTTTGCATGGCCTGGTGTGTGACAGAAACAGCAAGGAAACTTCCTATTTCCTTTTTTTTTCAATCAACTGGGAAGAGAGTAATTTACTGTCCTCTGTACACATCTCTGCATGCAGCACCCTGTACACTTCTCAAGGTCATCCCTTCCTCTAGCACACTCTAACTATGTATGTACACACCCATGCTCCCCATTAAGCTGTGAGCTCCTTTAGGACAAGAAATAAAGACACAAGTCTCCAGGATACTCACACTTAGTTTTTATTAGCCAGAGTTCCAGCTCCCAGGAGACAGATACACAGCTAACAATGGGTTCCCAGTCACCATTTTGGTCTTGCTTACACGGCTGACACCGTTGCTCACCTGGGATGCACAGATCTGCAAAGCTGCTCCAAGGCCCTGGTTTTCTAAAGTACAGGAAGCCCCATGGAAGGAAAGAGCAGAACTGAGAGCCACCTCCTTCTCCGTACAGGATAAGACACACAAGCCAAATGACCTATGCATCCAGGAGCAGAGGCAGAGCCCTGAACTGCCCCACGGATGCCTTCAGATTACTGGACTCTGAGTGTCAAGTGCTGGGGTTCAAGGACCAGACATCTGCAGGGAAAGCAAGGTGCTGCCACACTAGCACATTACCCTGTGCTTTCCTCCATGCAGCTCTGCCTTCACCCTGGGTGGCACTCCCAGCCCAGCAGGAGCCTGTGACCTAGAAGGGTGTGAAGGACCCTAGGGCAGGATGCATTGGCTAGGAGTGAACTGGCCTGTTGATGGGTCGTTTTTCTGTGAAGAAACTTTTCAGCAGCATCACCTGGCTGAAGCTGACCACAAACAGGGCGATCGTCTCGCCAATAGACCAGTAAGACACTCGGCTATTCAGGTCTTCAGCTCGGGCCCGGTCCTGGGCCTCCCGGAGCCGGTAATGCGTCTGAGAATCAATCACTGTCTTCAGAGCCTCATGAATGGTCACACAGGCAGACTCCATCTGGGCAGGAAGAGAAAAGCAGTCACATTGCTGACACTGAGACAAGAATAGTGGAATCCAGCAAACAGCAAATGTTGTCGTCAACATCCTCGGTAACATCTTCTGAGTGCTAAACATGTGTCTGTGCAAGGGGCTGCATGTGGTTTTACTTAACCCTCACAATAAGCCTACCAGTCTCAGAATGGTTAAGTAACCTGGCCAGAGTCACACAGTTAGTGCATGGCAGAGTCAGGATTTGACTCAAGTGCTGCCCTGCGTTCTCTTATTTGATCCACACCATACCCTGACAGGCATGGATCATTACCCTCACGGTTGAGAAAGGCTGACTGACTGCTCACCCCACATACTGAGGAAACTGAGGCTCAAAGAGGCTACATGAATTGCCCAAGGTCACACAGCTCACAAAGAGGAGAGCGTGAACAAGACCACAATTGTGTTGGATTCTGAATCTACTGCTCACTCTACTCCATAATCGCTGCCTAAAGTTTTATGTATAAACACAAACACCTAAACACACACGTTTCTCCTGTACGTAAACACATGCACACAAATGCCAAGACATGGACATACATATAGACATGCATATGCATACAAATGTATTCATATGTAATACACAAACTTCACGACTTCCTTTACCTGCTAAAATATTCTGCTTGGTAGGCAGAATTCTGAATTGTCCCCTCCCTTCCACTAAGATTCCCTGCCCTCCTCCCAAGAGCCTGTGATATGATGAGCTGTCACTCCTGTGAT